AGTTGCAGACAAATACTGTGTAAAGATGGAGTTAAAGGTGAGAGTATATAAATTATAAACTCTTGGGGTAGGGGCTGGTTTTTGTTCTGTTTGTGAAAGGTCTAGCCCAATGCGGTCCTGTGACTAGGGGTGCTACCGTAATACAAATTAATAATAATAATAGGTAGCAGTCATGGAGGCTGAAATCTATTACAGAGATGTGGCAATTATTCCCAAACCAAACATCATAAACCTGTGAAATTCTGAGTTAAGCTTTGACATTAAAAGATATCCCAATGTGTTAAGGTATGGAAATACAGTGGAATAGAGGGCAGAGAGCAATGACAACCCCATGGGAAATCCTCCCCACAACCCCTTCAGGGCCCCACTGCCTCCCTAATTGAAGGTTTTAACCCCTCCCCTCATATCCAGGGCACCTTCCCCCAGTTTAGGAGGGGAAGTCATATGGGGATAGAGTCAACTGTCATGCCAGAGGGTGAATGTGAGTAATGAAGGAGGCTATTCAAGGGAGGTTGGTACATGCTGTAGCCCATGCCCTAGCTGAAGTATTTGAAGCCTCCAGAGCTGCCTGCACTGAGGGACAGGAAAAAATGGCAATAAGCCTCCTTTGTACCCTGGTCATGCCTTGTCTCACCAGCATGGTTGCGAAGGGGCACTATATAGCTGGGCATGCCACCATACCCTGGCTGTGCCCTGTCACCACAAGGGGGCATTGTGAAGCTGCAGGTGCCACCCTCATTACCTTAGCAGTGCTCAATCTGTCAAACCTCATACCAGGGAGTGCTGTGCTGCATGCGTTACTCCCCTACCCACTCATGTTGCTTCTCCCTCAACAGACACTAGGGGGTGCTGTGATTCCACGGCTGCATCACTTCATACCCTGGTCATCCCTGCCTTCCTAGATTACTACTAGGGGGTTCTGTGATTTGGCTCTCCCTCATAGGCAGTGGGTAGCATAGGCAGGGGAAGGCTGTGCCTCCACAAACAGCCTGGCATGGCTCCACCCACACTCTGCCCCGCCCCCATGCTCCCTCCTGCCTGCTTCAGTTCCCTTCCCACTCTTCTGTGGCTGAGAGGCTGGGGGCCTGTGCACATAAGGCCCAGGACTGGGGGGGCTGGGAGCATGCTCCCCATCCAGCACTCTAGAGGTGGGGGTGCTCCCACCACACCACCTGCCTGGGACTGGAGGGTGCTCCGGCTGCACCGCCCGCCCGCCGAGTGCTAGGGGCATGCGCCGAGGGCCAGCAGCCCTGGCCGTGGGTTCTGGGCTCCAGCAGGGAATGGGGGGGCAGGGCCTTGTGCAGAGGCGGAGGGGCCAGGGGCTAGCCTCCCCCAACAGCGCATTCACCGGCCGCCCATACACTCCCTTCTTGTTCTAGGGCACTGGTTCTCAAACTGTGGGTCAGGACCCAAAGCGGGAGTCACCAGGGCTGGTTGGGCTCAGGTTATAGCCCCTGTGTGGAACTGAAGCCCTTGGTCTTTGGCTCTCCCCCACCCCCCACTCAGGGCCACAGGACTTGGGTGGGCTCAGGCTTCAGTCTCCCCCTACTGGAGTCATGTAGTAATTTTTGTTGTCAGAAGGGGGTTGTGATGCAATGAAGTTTGAGAACCTTTGTTCTACGGAGTACATAAGTATGTGTAGGGGAGGAATGCATTCATAATCTAAATAGACACGATAGACTAAGGGCCAGTTTTTCTGCTCAATTACTGATGTGTAAACTTGGAGTAACTCTATTAAGTTGAGTTGAGTTACTCCACATTTACAGTGGCATAACTGAGCTTGGATTTGGTCTATTGGGTGGGAGAAAATAAGATTAGCCCAATTTTACACATGGGGAAACTGAGGCACAAAGCTGAAGTGATTTGCTTGAGGTCATACGGGAAGTGTGTGGCATAACAGCTGAAGGAGTCCTGACTTACCCTCTTAGTTATCATGTAAGAGCGCGTTCCCCATAAACAGCTGAGACTAGAACCCAGGAGTCCTGCCTCCTGGCTTCCCGCCTGTTCTAACTACTAAATCACACCAAAGGGTGGAATCAGGACTACCCCTCCATGTTTCATAAGCCCTATATTGCTAATCATCTGAAAAACTCAGCCATAGCAACCCCTCCCCTCTTTTTCCTCTTAGAACAGAACCCAGCTGTATTGACAACCCAGCTCAGCAGCTCCTCCCATTGGTTTTCTGCCATTCTCTGCAGCACGCTAGAACTGGCTGCATTCCTGTTCCTTTTCTCTCCATACCTAGTGGGAGCTTCGATAAACATGAGCCTGAAAATAGAGCTGAGAATTCCACCAGACAGCAGCCAAAACAGCATAGTGTCAGGATCCTGCATTGAGCTGGCCTGGGCCTGTTCATATTTGGCTTGGACGCTTCCAGTCCCACATCCAGGTATTTACCAGCTGTTCTGGGCCGTGCAATCCTAGATTTGGGAGTAGGGTTGCCAACTTTCTAACTGCAGAAAACCGAACACCCTTGCCCCAAGGTCCCGCCCATTCTCCAAGGCCCTGCCCCCGATCACACCATTCCCCCTCCCTCCATTGCTTGCTCTCACCCCCCCCCACTCACTTTCACCAGGCTGGGGCAGGGGGAGGTGAGGGCTCTGACTGAGGGTGCGGGCTCTGGGGATGAGGGGTTGGGGCCCAGGAGGGGGGGTCTGAGCTGGGGCTAAGGGGTTTGGAGTGTGGGAGGAGGCTCCAGGCTGTGGCAGGGGGTTGGGGGTGTGGGAGGAGATGAGGGATCCAGCTGGGGGGTGCAGGTTCTGGGGTGGGGCTAGGGATGAGGGGTTTGGGGTGCAGGCATGGGCTCCGGGCTGGGGCCGAGGGTGGGAGGGGGTTTCAGGCTGGGGCAGGGGCATGGGAGGGGGGTTGGGGTGCAGGCTCTGGGCGGCTCTGGCTGGGGCAGCTTGGCGGGGGGGGGCCTTAAATAGCAGCCACACCAGCACTGCCCTGGCATTTCCCAGAGCTCAGAGGCTGCTCTATCTGCCATGAATCCTGGACACATGGCTTGGCCAGTGCACCAAGGACAAAAGTTAATCCTGTTCTCTGGAATGTGGGCGGGGGGGGGGGAGAGGGGGAGCAACTTCCCCACAAGTGCCACACATACATACTCCACTGCTGCCCCTGGCTTGCTGCGCCCCCCCCCCCCCCCCCCCCTCCCCCCACCCACCCCCCCCCTAGGGAGAACTCTGCTGCAGGTCCCCTCCTCATCCCCCCACCATTTGCAGTGATCCCCAGCCCCTCTCCTTTGTCCCCCCAGTCTGGCCACTGGTTGGGGTCTCCACACCCAGCTGCTGCCTGACTCTGCTCGGATCCATTCGCAGGGAGAGCAGCCCAACTTTAGCCCCATGCTTCCGTGCATTGGGGAGGAGACTGACAAGTCCACAGCCCCTTAGCTGCTGGTTGCATGGTCCCGAGACAAGGCTGGAGCAGCAGCCCCCAGGAGCAGGCTACAGGGCAGCCACTGGCAGCTCGCCCTGGCCCCCAGCCCTCGCACCAGCTTCATGTAATCTGTGGGGAGCCGGGCTGGCTCCTCTTTCTGCTCCTGCTGGCTGGGGAGCATTCATCGCGGCAGCTACTGTCTTTCTCAGCCCCTCCGCTGGGATCCACCCCCTGCCCGCCGGGGCTCACACCGCTCCTGAGCTCCACAGCAAGAGCTGCTGCAGGCCCCCGCCTCATCCCCTAACCAGCAATCAGACTTTTAACAGCCTGGTCAGCAGTGCTGACTGGAGCTGCCAGGGTCCCTTTTTGACCGGACACGAGGCATCCCTATTTGGGAGTCAAACACACAAACTACGCCTGAGGGAATTCTGTGCCCAAAAAAAAAAAAAAATTCTGCACACAATATTTTAAAATTCTGCATATTTTATTTGTCCATAAATAAATGTGGAGGCTTCAGCATTGCAGTGGGATGAGAGATCACCCTGTAGTTGCCCCGAATACAGAGTTGGCGGTGAGGCTGCACCCAAGGCTGATAAAGCGCAAGGGCCAGACCTGTCCCAGAAACACCCCAGGGCCCTGCCCCTCCACGCCAGGTGCACCAAGATAGCAACTAAAAGGAACAGAGTCTCATATGCACACCCACCCCTGGCCCTCGATCCAGGTGTAGGCAGGCAGGCTCAGCCCGGATCCAAGTGCAGAAGGGCTTAGTGTGAGGGAAGCCAGATGAGAGGGTTCTGTATGGGGAAATCTGGCTGTGGGGGGTCTGGGTGTGTGTGGGGGGTCCAGATGCACATGGGCTTGTTGGGCAGTTCTGGGTGCAGGGGGATGGGACTCTGTAGAGAGGTCCAGGTGAAGGTGGTTGGGGCTCAGCGGGGGGGGGCCCGGGGGGGGTCGGGATGGGGGGGATGAGGCTGAGGGGGGTGGGGGTTTAGGTGTAGAGGGGTTCAGTGGGGAGGATCTGGGTATGGGCTGGATGCATGGGGGTTGGGCAGATGGGGGAGCAGCTCCCTGTACAGTGACCTCTCCCCCATGGGCTGAGGAACGATGAGGGCAGACAGTGGAGGGGAGGGGGCAGAGCTTTCTGCAGCCAGGGGAGGTTTCTGGGGGTAGGTCTGACCCAGCCCCAGCCCAGCTGCCCTATGCAAGGGAAGAGTAAGTCCCATCCTTCCCCAATCCAGCCGAAACTTGCAGCTGAGCTCAGCACAGGGTAGGAGCCTCCAGCTAGGTCATCCCTAGCTTCCCCCACCACCACAGTAATTTATCTCTCTGCCCATTGTTCTGGGTGCCCGAACTGACACACCTGTGGTGCTGGGGAGGGGCACATGACTATTCTTGAGACTTCCCTTTGCTTCCCTGTCAGAAGTCATTTTTTCTGCAGGGAAGCAAAGACATCTGTGGGGGACATAAATTCTGTGTGCACAGAGTGGTGCAGTATTCCCCCAGAAATAACACACACACGCACAAAGAAGCCAAGGTGCAATGAGCATGAGATGTTTAATGGCCTCCCTCCTAGGTTACAGGAGAGGACAGGGTGTAGGGCTCCCTAAGGTACAGTGCCAGCTCTAGTGTGTCTTGTCATAGGTGCCAGCTCCCTTGTAGGCCCCAACATAGCCACTGCCATCGGTCACGTCTTCACGGCCAGCTATCCCTTTCCCCTTGCCGCTCTCATCAAACCGTTCCTTGTGGGAGCCTGTGTATTTGCTGGTGTCTGTCAGTCTATCAACCCCACCAGCTGTGGTGGTTTTCTGTAAGAGACGGGGCCCAGCAAAAGTTAGCAGAATTGAGGTTGGATCTCACAATAGTTTCAGGCCTACCCCAAAGGGTGGGGCCTGTGGGGGGTTGTACTGGGCTCATTCCTGCCTCCAGGGGGATATAGCATCTCCATGAAGCTCATATTAGGTTAGTTCCTGCCCTGAGTGGGGTGTTATCTCTCTATGGTGGGATGCCTCACATTATGCTCATTCTTTCCCTGAGTGAAGTGGGATCTTGGGCAGGTGGAAGGGAAGAAGAGTCCTCATAGCGGGTTCATTCCTGCTCCAAGTGGGGTCTGTACAGATGGCAGGGAGATCTGGTGCTGGGGTAGGGAAGTGAGGGGTGCCGGGTTTGGGACACCTTAGAGAGAGCTGGTACTCACCGTTACACCCACGTTGGCTGGTTCCTTGCCCTCCATCAGTGCATACACAGCCTGCAGGGCCTCCTCAGGAGACTTGCCCTTGAACCGCTTGCCACACAGCTCCTTCATGGCCTGCTGGAACTCAGCAAAGTTGATGGTGCGAGCGCCTTTGGTCCTGCAATGAGAGGGGAACAGACATGGGAAGTTACTGCAGCTCCCTGACCCAGTGGTGGCAGCAAAAAGTCCAGAACATCCCCACTGCACTCATCACACTGGGGAACCAGCTCTTCTCCCCTCTTTGTTTTCCCCTCCCGTCCCTTATCTGTTGCTCCCATCTCTTCTCCATTGCCCACGCACTTGACTTTGTTGAACACAATATCGACATCGGTGCTGGTCACGGCCTTCCCATCCATCACGCCACAATCCTTCAACATCTTGGAGAAGTTCTTGCCCGTCATATCATTGCCAGTGGCAGCCGTGTCACCGTACATGGCAAATTTACGGAAGGATTTCTCCAACTCCGACATCTTCGGGCTAGGGAAAAAGGAAGACTGTTAGGATGGGCCTCCCCACCAAGACATCACCACTACAACCCTTCACCCTGAGACTATGTTGTTGGGGGTCATAATGATATTTGCACAAATACAACCGGAATTAAGGAGTGGGGTTTCTGAGGAGAGAAGAGAAATGGGTGGAGGTTATTTCTACAGAGTTGGGATTTCGGGAGAGGGTGTATGTCAGTCTTATTCTATTAAAATGTAAAGAAATTTGGTACCTAAATCCTCTGGGCAGCTTTGGAAACCACATCCATAGTCAGAGCTCCAGCATCACACAAACCTTGGGATTCCACCCAAAGATTCCTGCATGGTCTGCTTTCTCCACCCCCTCCCACCCCCCAGTGAATGACATTGGGAGGTCAGACCATAGCTACCTATTTAGGCCCCTATTACCATAGTATCTGAGCCTCACACATCCCTGAATTTAGCCTCTGAGGGAGGGAATTATTCCCATTTTATAGATGGGGAACTAAGGGATGGAGAAATGAAGTCTGAGATTTTGAAAGCTGTCTAAGCAATTAGGACAGCCAATTCCCATTAAAATTAAATGGAGACTGGTTGTCAAATCCCCTTAGGCAGATCTGAAAATCCTAGTTTAAGTTTTGGGCTGAATTTAGAATCAAACCCAAAATCAATCAAACTCTCCTTCTCATTAACTCCCCAGATATAGCTCGTTAGCCTCTTCTGACCCTTTGTCAATATTCCATTAATTGTCAATTGATTCAGACTCAGGACTATTGTATTTAGGCTTGAGAGAGAAAATGTATGAACCATGCCAGGATTTTCAAAGCAGTACAAGGGAGCTGGGCAAACCAATTCTGTTGATTTTTAAAGGGATTTGAGTGTCTAACCCCCTTAGGCTTCTTGGAAATTTCCATCATGTCCTATTGACACCCACGTCCCTTCACCCACTGGTTCTGTCCTTCAAGTTTCTTCAGGGCTGATAGGGTTTTTAAAGTGCTCCCAATGCTTCTGGAACTCTAAAGGAAGAACCAGATTGCTCACCTGGGTAAATCCAGAGGCACTCATCTGAAATCCCAATGTAGTGTCTCTGGATTTAGTCCAGGGGATTACTAAAATCAGAATCGATCCCTTTCCCCTCTAATATTGACTCCTTATCCAGAGGCTGGGCTAACCTGTGTTGGCAGATATTCCTGGCCCTTTGTCTGTTTGTTGCGTGTTTCTCCTGGGAGGAGGTCAAATACTTTAAGCCAGCAGCAGCAAAGACTGGGGATTCAGGCTGAGCCACCTATTGTAACCTCATCAGTTGCTTGTGATGTCATCACTTGCTCCACCCACCTGAGCGCTGACATCAGTGTCACAGGGAGAAAGCTAAAAGCAGTGATGGTATTTGGGGAGTTGGGTTGAAGGGTGAGAAATTTTTATACCCTACTACACATTATTTTACAACATTATTTCGGGAAAAATAAGGAAACGGATTCCCCACCCAGGAGCATTCCCTAATGCCAAAACACTCAGCATGAAAGCCTGGCTCCACTGAAGTCAACAGAAAAACTCCCATTGTCTTCAGTGGAGCCAGGATGTCCACCTCGCACACTTTGTCTTCTAACCTCAAAACCACCATAACTCATTCCTAAACACACAGAGGAGCTTATCACTGCTCTTCACAGCCCAAACAGTTGGTAGAAATCAATCAAAGGGTGATTTTCCTTGTGCGTCTGGCTCCAGCACTTACTGTCCTAGAAAAAGTTGGATGAATTTCCAGAACTGCAACTTTGTAGAATAAAGCAGCTCTCTGAGCTGAAAGACTAAAAACAAGAGACAGATTTTTGCCTTCTAAAGTCACATGGACATATGACTCATTTCGCCCATCTTTGCGTGTGTTTTATTCCTACTAATGTTAATGGAAATCATTGGTGTGTAACAAAAGGAGAATCAATCCATTAAAGTTTATTCTACTCTGAAAAATGAATTTATACTAAAACTGGGGAAATAATTTTTTTGCTTCATTGGCAATTTTGAAAAGTAAACAAAAAAAGGGTTCTGTTCACCGGCAAAAAACATAGAGCCGCCCCTGGATAGTACCATGTAATGAACTTAGTAATATATTTGGGTCAACCTACACCTGATTGCTTAGATCTAGTGTCACCAGCATTCATCCATTTTAAGGCCAGAAGGGACCATTAGATCACCTAGTCTGACCTCCTATGTAACACTGAGCAGAGATTTTCACCCACTTTACCCTGTATTGAGCCCAATAACTTGTCACTGATTAACACACATTTTCCAGAAAGAGATCCAGTCTTGCTTTGAAGATATCAAGAGGTAGAGAACCCACCATTCCCCTTGGTAGTTTGTCCAATAGTTAATCACCCTTACTGTTAAGTGTTGCCTTATTTTTTATTTGAATTTGTCTGACTTTAACTTCCAGCCATTGCTTTTTGTTTTGTTTTTGTTTTCTTTGTTAGGCCTTTCTCTGCTAGATTAGATTAATGAGCCCTTTAGGTCCTTATATTTTCTCCCTACTAAGCTACTTACACACAGTAATCAAGCAAGCTCTCATTCTTCTTTTTGATAAACTATGTAGATTGAGCTCTTCAAATCTCTCAATGTCAGGCATTTTTTTCAACCCTCAAACCATTTTTGTGCCTCTTTTCTGCATCCGCTCCAATTTTTCAATATCATTTTTAAAATGTGGACGCCAGAACAGGTCACAGTATTCCAGAATTGGCCTCACCTCTCGGCTCCTATTCCCTCTTTCCCTGTTTATACGTCCAAGGATCACATTAGCTCTTTTTGTCACAGCGTCACACTGGGAACTCATATTCTGTTGTTTGTCCGCTGTGAGCCTAAAATCCTTTTTGGAATCACTGCTTTCCAAGATACAGTTGCCCACTCTGTAGGTATGGCCTGCATTCTTTGTTCCTAAATGTATAACCTTGCATTTGGCTGTATTAAAACTCATTTTGTTTGACTAGGCCCAGCTTACCAAGCAATCCAAATTGCTCTGTATAACTGCCCTCCTCTCCTCATTATTTACTATTCTCCCAATCTTTGTGTCATCTGTAAATTTTTATCAGCATTGGTTTTATATTTACTTCCACCTCATTGATCAAAATGTTGACTAGTACCTGGTCTAGTACCAATCCCTACAGAATCCCACCAGCAACACACCCAACTTAATGATGATTCTGCATTGACAACTATTTTTCACGCCTGTCAGTCAGTCTGTTTGTTCTTAATCCATTTAACATGGAGGACCTAGCTGTAAAGAGCTTCTTTTCTTGTCTAAAGTAGACAGATCACATGGCACAATAGTTTTCAAAATGTTCCAGGCACATTGCTTCAATGAAGTTACAGCACATCCAGGGCTTTCAACAAAGTCTATACAAGAGATTGCCAAATTTGGTACCATGTAACTAGTTAAGTATTGAGCTGCTACCAGTCTCTTACAAACTCAGTTTAGTGAGGTTTGAGATGAGAATCTCATGTGGACAGACACTGAAGACACCAGGGTGAGAACAAGTTAATGCTCTATTTCTGCCACTGAGAAGGGTCACAAAAAAAGGCCCTCCTTTGTGGGTTCTTTAAAGAAATCCCACAAGGTCCACATCTCTGCTTTCCAAAGCAAAAAAAAGGACATTTTTTTCAAAACTTCACAAATTATGAATTATGAAGGATGCAGAAGGTTGCCCAAACCTTCAGCCCTAGGTAAGGGGATGAATCTGCACTAGTAAAACACTTAGCTACTAAATAAACAGAATAATTCAGGATTCTGTTCAAACACTTACATAGTTATTCAGGAAAGTTGGAGGACAGCTTTGATATCATCGTGAGGATTCTGAATAATCTATTTAAAGGAGACCCAAACATTTTGTAGAGCCTAAAAAAGAAAAAAGTTAGGGCACTTACAATGCTAAAATAATGCAGAACACCAGAAATTTAGGAAGAGAAAGATTAAAGTATCAAAATCTTTAGTAGGCAAGAAGAAAATTTATTCATAACAGCAGAAAAAACAAATTCCAAATTACTATGTAGCTTCTATATTTTATGAATTATGATCATAATCACATAAACCTCTCTTTTCACATGCAGCTGTTTATAGCATACATTCTTTTTTAGTGCCATGATCACAGAAATTGTTTGAATGAAGGCATTAACACATTAACAATCCCAAGAACTGTATTAAACATTTGAAATCAATCAAAATGAGCCGTTCAAATTACAGATGGACCAAAATCAAAAGTGCAGATCCAAACACCTGTGAACTATGGAGAAGTCTGAAATCATGATGCAGATGTGGATGTAAGTTTTGTGTCTTGAGCCTGTCTCTTGTTGAGGTCAACAGTACTGTATTTTGAGATTGAACCTTAGACTTTTTGAACTGTAATCAGAAACTCCATTTACATAGTGTTTTATTTTTAATCAAAGTGCAGTACAGTGGAGTAATATGCTGTCCTCTTTTGAAAGTCAATGATCACATCTGCCTAGCTAAACAAATATACTATGTTTGATGCAAATGTGTAGGAGTAAAAGGAAGATCCTGAGTAGGGCAGAATTACCCATTTTTATAGAAAAGCATTTACAGAGTTTTAGGAAGAGAAAATCCTAGTCTTAGAAATGTGACAAACAGCTTGTCAGAAATTAAGATAAGGCAAAATAGATTAAACACTTAGCTGCTCCTAATATTTTATTTTATGGTTTTACAATTTAAGTCTCATAATGAATTTTCCATTTATGTTACAGAAAATGAATCCTTTCTCAGGCTCACAGGTTAGATTTTAATTCGGAGGGGAAATTTATCATCACCGGGTTTGTAGTCCCGAAACATATGAAATTATAATTACAGTGTTTTAGTAGAAATTTTAAATCTGGATATAGCCATACTTCATGGGAACAATCCCCAGGCAAAGCACTTAAAGACAGTCTTTCCTGGGGCTCTTTCTGGGTAGGAAAGCACTCCTCTGCCATCAATGTAATGATACAGTGTAAATGCCACAAGATAGCCCACAGTGAGCAAAAAAGCCCCAGCCCATCATTTGAAAACCAGTGTGTGGTACATGACCTTCTCTTGCTGTCCTTGGGTCCTGGAGGTGCCCCCTCCAATTAACTTTCAGAAATAAATCAGAAATTGTCCATACTCGCCTGTGTATTAAGGACACTGACCTTAGTATGTGCATTCCCCTCCATAAAAAAATAAAAATATTTTTTTCAATGACCAATTTCCTGAGACTAGCTCCCCCACAAGTCTATTAAAATCACTGATCTGTAGTATCAGACATTGAGAACATAGAGAGGGGGCTGATTTTTGCTTCGACTTTTGGTCAAATAGAATCTGTAAAGGACTCTGTAGTTTGCTTCAGAGAGAATACACTTTAACTGGCCACAAATAGGCTGAACTTTCACACAGGGCACTAAGTTTCATTTAAAGTGAGATTCTGCTTACCTCTGGCAAGGGGAAAGATTTTTTTATTAAAAAGAACATTTCATCATTTATAACTAGGGCTCCATGTCTGTCACAGAGGTTGTGGAAGTCATGGAGTCCATGACTTTCTGTGACCTCCGTGACTTCTGCATGGGCCAGTGTGGCTGACCCCAGGGCCGCCCATGCAGCTGGCTCCAGGGACAGCTGCTCAGGTGGCCCCGGGACAGCCACACCAGCCACTGCTGGAGCAGCCCCAGGGACAGCCATACTGCTCCCGTGGCCCTGGCAATAGTCCCCAGGCAGCCAGCCAGAGCTGCCGCGATCCGTGACCCCAGGCAGCAGTTCCCAGGTGGCCGGCGAGAGCAGCTGCAGTCCGTGGCCCCAGGCAGCAGTCCCTGGCCGGCTGGAGCAGCCGCAGTCCACCAGCCCCAGCTGCAGTCCCCAGGTGGCCAGCTGGAGCAGCCGCTGTCTGTGGCCCCAATCAGCGGTCCCCCGCCAGCCAGCAGCTGATGCCCGGGGCGGCTCTATGTTTTTTGGCACCCCAAGCACGGCAGTCAGGCGTCCTTCAGCGGCGTACTTGAGGGCAGTCCGTGGTCACGCGGATTCTGCGGCGTTTCTGCGGGTGATCTGCCGGTGCCGCGTACCCACCGCCGAATTATGGCTGAATTATGGCCGAAACCGTGGGACCGGTGGACCTCCCGCAGGCACGCTGCCGAAGGCCGCCTGACTGCTGCCCTCACAGCAACTGGCAGGCCGCCCCCCGCGGCTTGCCACCCCAGGCACGCGCTTGCTGCGCTGGTGCCTGGAGCCGCCCCTGCTGATGCCGCCGGCCCCCGGTACCCCCCCCCTTTGGGGGCCCCCCCATGCCCCCCCCGGGTCCCCCCCCCCCCGATTGAATCACAGGTATTTTTAGTATATCATGAACAGGTCATGGGCCGTGAATTTTTATTTATTTCCTGTGACCTGTCCCTGACTTTTACTAAAAATACCCGTAGCCTTATTTATAAACTGTAAAAAAAAATTTGATGATCCCAGTACAAAGAGGAGTGCAAATATTATTCAAGCTTCCACTTGGTGAACTAGTGTGCCTAAAAACATAATCAATATTCATTAAATATGAATCAGGGTCCAATGAATAATAATTCAGAAAAGATTCCAGTGGCCAGGGTCTGTAAAGTGTGCTCTTAGTACCAATAAATGAAAAACATTAGACGTGTTTAACAGTATCAGAAAGTTAGACTTCTCTGATCAAAAAGGAACCAGATGATCTGTAAGTGCTGGAATGAAGGCTAAAGTTAACTACATGCTGTGTGAAGATGTATTTGCATTTTTTTGTTGTTGTTGTTTCACAGACATCAATGTCAACAAGGGACCGTCTTGTACTCTTATTATGGAACATGACCAAAATAAAACAATAATCAGTTTTCACTGTACAGTTCTTAATTCTGAACACTTAAATGAAGTTCCCTTTTATTCTTCCCATTATTTTTGGCTGTGGTAGTTTTACTATGATACCCCCTAGAGGCCCTAATGAAGATCAGGGTCTCATTGTGCTGGACAGCAACAGAAAAGTACTAAGTGAAATTGTTCTTAAGAACCTTGGTTTTACAATTTCTCAAACTGTGTAGATTCTATAATACTTCTCAAAGTGTCTTCTCTGCCTTGTCTAAATGCATCCTGGAGGCCTCGGGCCTAACAAACTGAGCCTAGGGTTAGCAGCCCTCATGTACTTATCAACACTCCTTATACTGCTTCCTTCTCTTCCTACTCACTTGAATGGAATACTGGTTTTGGTTTGCATTGGTTATATTGGGGAGCAGGAAGAATTCTTTTCCCCAGGAACCTGTCCACAAGGGAAAAAAGGTAAAAGTTTCTTTCAGGCTGAGAGGCCCATAGTAAATATTTTGCGGTTAGATGATAGATCCTGAAGACACAGGATGAGGAGGCAGGACAATATCTGCACCCTGCATCTCTATTGTTTTGAATGGGATAGCATGGGCATAAGTCAGAGTCGAACTTGGTCTATGGTGTCTAATCAATATGCTGGCCATTAACTACTCAAGTGCTAAGTGGACATGCCTTTTGTTGAAAATCTACTGAGGTACAGAGAAACTATTAAATAATTCCAGACTGGCCTTCACAAGGCTGTAGCTAACCTCTTAAGAAAGATGGCATACAATAATGTATCACAGTAATAAAAAAACATGCTATGATGTTAGTAATATTCATCCCTAGTATAATGCTGCTTCCCTGGAGTTACATCAGGAATGAATTTAGCTCCTGAAGTCTATTTTCTTGTTTTGATATAGTGACCTTATATTAGCTCCCTCGATAATCAAAACTGCACTTGCCTCAAACTTGATTTGATGAAATCATCTGGTAATGAGTGATTGGTTTGGACTTGTTTCAACAAGTCCAGCCATGTGCATGTTGTTCCAACAACATTTTTCTGTATGCACAAGACCCTTGGCAGTTTTTCAACACTAATCTAAAAGAAGCATATCTTAAACTCTTCATGCCGTTTGTACTGTACTTACCGTACTAGTACAGACACTGATGTTTTATCAGCAGTCATTGAAGCTTGATTTTCGTGTACAAAAAATATTATGTTAATATTGTTTTAATGCTTACATTCTTGTTTACAAAAACAAGCACTTTAACAAAAATGATACGAGGTAAAAATTACAGAAGTGCCTAAGGAGCCCAGGTCCAATTGACTTTCAGTGGGATTTTGAAGTTTACCCACAGTCAAGCAGTTTAGACCCAACACTTAAGCCTATGGAAAATTTAGATGCTTTCAAGCTTTTGGAGACCTATCTGTAGTATGAACAGGTTGCCACCCAATGTCCTTACAGGCAAATGTGCAGGACCCCAACAGAGATACACCCACATGACATGAAACTGGTCCTTAATGTCCCTTTTATAGCTAGTGTTTTTTCTCCTTTTCCCATTGACTGGACTGACTTGTTTGAACCCTGAAGAATGTTATTTCGAGCTTCTTAAAATGTATGTCAAACCTGTTAACTTTTCCTCTCTATTCTATGGAGGAACAACAACATTCTCTAATGTCAATGCATAAAGATCAAGGCTCAATTAATATATGAAAACAGAGCTTTGACCTTGCTTAGGTAGCTATTAAGCAATGTTATTGTAAAAGTTTATATCTGCAGTCTGTATTACATTATCCTTGTGCTATATCATCTCACCTCGCACTCCATGAAAAGTAAAAAAAATCCCAATTAATAAGCCTTGAGCGTAGCATGGCATAGACAACACAAGGCGATTTAGCTCGCATTTTAGAACTCCCTGTCTGCAGCGTGTAGACTCCTTCTACTGTGTGTAGGAAATAATATTACTTTGTTAACCATTTGTTGTGCGTTCCAAAAGCAGAAGTAATGCTCGTTTAGTCATTAGGGGGATTTTAAAACACAAATAT